TGAATTGAGTGATAGTTACATGGGAGAACATCAGCTTTACATTCATTCTATTGTATTTTATTTCATTGCAATGATTACAATCCTCCAATCCCCTCCATGCATCATCATTCAACAGCATTTGCTTCCATTCCCTCTGTTTTTTGTTTTGATGTACATCAAAGCACTCAGGAATATATAACCATGCAAAATAACAATGTATTTAATTCTGTAAGACATAAGCACTTCCTGGATTACAGTCATGAGAAAGAAAAGTGATAGCTAAAAAGCCTCACTTAATCAATTTACCAGATCCCTCATTCATCTATACAATTCCTATGAAAATCAGTCAGTCTACTCACTTTTTATCTACAATTTCTAAACAGTTCAATGTAAACATAAAACATAAATACATTCTTTATTAAAGCTTCTCCAATAACAAATATTAAATTATACCTTGTTGAGTTGTGACTATCCCTGTATGAATTAATCAGATTATTTTATTTTTCAGTCTCTAGAGTCCTGGTGTTGCACTGTGGGTTAATGTATCAGACTGCAAAGTCATTTGAATTGCAAGGTCAGTGGTTCAAGCTCACCAGTCGCTCCTTGGAAACCCTGAAAAGGGTCACTATGGGTCGGAATCGGCTCGATAGCACTTAACAACAACAATAACAAGTGTCTTGTGGGTGATGGTTGTTTTTGAGTACCCCTCAGATTAGTGGCATACAGTGAGTACTACTAACTTCTTTTGTTGATCTCCCTTTTATGATTTGTAACTAGGTGGTTTATATAAATCAGCTTTTCACAAAATGTGTTTAATAAACCACTGAAAAATGAGTCTTTGTTCAAATAAGTTTGGGATGTTTTGGGTTAAATAAAGTCAAATAAGTATTGTAATTTTAGGACTATTGTTGTTATTAAGTGCCATTGAGTTGGTTCTGACCCATAGTGACCCTGAATAGGGTTTCCGAGGCTGTAAATCATTACGGGAGCAGAAAGCCTCATCTTTCTCCCACGGAGTAACTGGTACTTTCGAACTGCTGATCTTGAGGTTTGCAGGCCGATTCGTAACCACTACGCTACCAGAGCTACTCCTATAAAAGTAAAGGACCTGAACTTTAGAGATAGGCCATCTTGATTCAAATGTGAACTCTACCACTTAGAATTATATTACATTATATTATATTAACATCTCTTTTCCACAGTTTCTGCATGGGTTGTGTTGTTGTTGTTGTTAGGTGCCATCGAGTTGGTACTGACCCATAGTGACCTTATGCACAGCATAACGAACACCGCCTGATCCTGGGCCAACCTCATTACTGTTGCCACGCTTGAGTCCATGGATGCTGCCACTTGACAATCCATCTCGTTGGGGCCTTCCTCTTTTTCTCTGACCCTCCATCTTACCAAACATGCTATCCTTCTACAGTGACTGGTCCCTCCTGACAATATGTCCGAAGTATAAGAGACCAAGATAGGCCATCATGGCCTCCAGGGAGCACTCTGGCTGCACTTTTTCCAAAACAGATTTATTGGTTCTTTTGGCAGCCCATGGCACTTTCAATATTCTCCTCTAACACCATAACTCAAAAGTATCAATTCTTCTGCTGTCCAGCTTTCAAAACCATAACTCAAAAGCATCAATTCTTATTTACTGTCCAGCTTTCACATGCATATGAGGTTATTGAAAATACCATGGCTTGGGTCAGGCACACCTAAGTCCTCAAGCTGACATCTTTGCTCTTCAACACTTTAAAAAGGT